TTGGCAGCTCAGCTCAGGCTGGGAATCGAACCAGCGACCCTGTTGCTCAGAGCTCGCACTCTTGAGCAAGCTCTTAACCAACTGAGCCATTCGGCCGGCCCTTTTTACTTTTTTAAACAATATATCTTAACCCTCTATCAAGATCTCACAGTATGGACAGTAGCCATTTAATAAGTAATGAATGATTTAGTTTTTACCATTTTATCCATTCCTTTTGGTCCAAGGCTTGTTCTAATAGCATCAGCAACAGCTGTAAAAGAAAGAAAAAGAAATCAAGACTCTTTAAAGGACAAAATATTTCTCTTCTCAAATGATCATTTTGTCCTTACTAGGATAGGATATAGAACTGTTCACTGTGTCCACTAAAGAAAATTCATTATTTAATAACAATCTACTGGAAATAGCATAATCTACTTCTTTAATATATGACATGTAGGAGTACTTCATGTTTTGAGGATTCATCTAATCTTCCTTTAAATATCAAAATGATACAGTCTAGCTCTGATTGTGGACTGTATTCTTTTCTCCACTCTTTAAAATTAGACAAGCAACAATAGGACAGGCTAGACCTCCTACTATACAATTAACTTGTTTACTCTGTCTCCCCTGAAGTATAATTTCTGAGGGCAAAGACTTTTGCTCACTAATGTGAAGCTGGTATACAGATGGCTTACAGTACAAAACACCCTTTGATCCCCACAAAAATAAAAAACCCACATTAATTAAAAAAAACAAAACTAAAATCATAGCTTTCGGTCATTATCGGTATAAGACATCTCTGGATATACCGTCTACCATTCCAAAGTTACTTATTATCTGACCATGAAAATGTTTCTATTCATTAGTCCACTTATTATTTTCTAAGAGAAACTAGAATTGATGAACAGTACTTAACCCCTTTTGTTTGACAAATCCATGACAAATAATTAAATCTTCCCCTTTCACACATACTATCTCATTCCATATACATAGGGTTGAGATTGTGCCTTAATTGTTTTTGTGTGCTCCGAAAACTAGCATAATGATTTTCCCTATATTGTGTGATTGATGATATACAATCTTACAGAGCTGAAGATAAAATATTTGGTATAATTTAAAAATTGCTTTCTACATAATTATTTCATAGTTAGGGGCTGCTATTCCTAATAACCCAGTCAATATTATTATCCTTTCAGGCAATTTTAGTGGACCTCTATGGCTATGATTCTACAAGCATACCAATTCTAAGAATGCCCTTATATTCATCTACATGAAAACTCTAGAAAGATCCACACTATCCAAAACATAAAAGATTTTAGACTGCTTACACTCTAAAAGTGGCAGATGGTATTGTCTGTTAAACGACTCATACTGAATAGTACTAGTACTACTACTACTCTGTGTGTTTGTGTGTGTGATTTTTCACATTATCAATCAATGGTGCTATTAACTTTTTGGTAACATCAAAATAAAAAACGGGTTCCCTGAATTAAACTAAAGATGCACATGGCAGCAGTTTTCTCCATCCATTTGTAGGGTTTTGTCTGACTTGGAAAGACCAGTTGTGTCCCTTTGCTCTATGAGCTATGTTCACTTAAAAGGGTCAGGATCATAGGTAATTTAGGTGGCCGCTCCTTCCTACATGCATACCTCCCTTGTTCCAGTTTCAATTCTCTGTTCACCGGTGTTTTAAAGGTTACCAAAGTAAACCTTCCATTCTGTATCTTGTGTATTTGTTGAAAATCTACCATATTATATAGCTATTTTGGCCCTCCAGATGGCCCCAGAATTTATCTAACATCTTGTTTCTAATGTACCATATCTAAGTTTCCACTATGCTCCTTAGATAACCTTCTACCAAATCTTTATTTCCGGGTATGTTCTCTCCTGAACTTGTAAATGACTCGTAAATCTACCCTTTTGGGTAGATTTGATTGGGTAGATCTGATCTCTTGAACTCATTAGGCCCAAATTAGAACCTATTTTCTTTTATTCCACCACCATTCCTCCAGTGTACAGTAATTCCTGACTTTAACCTCATCGATAGGCTCTTGGAACTCTGGCCAAGTGACATACAACAAAACCCATTTTACCACAGGCTAATTGAGAAAAACAAAAGAGTTAAGGGCCTCTTATCAACAATATAAAGAAACCACGTTAAACAAAGACATCATTTGAGGACCTGCTGTCTGTGTTTCTTTTGGCATCATCACACCTTCAATCATTTGAGCTGAAGATCTCAAATATTTGTAAGGCTTTATTTTATAGACACGGCTCTTCATACTCTTTCTTATTTAATCATCACAGAAAACCTACAAATTAGCTATTACTACCTTCTACTGAAGAATGATCTGTAGCTGTGGGGGTTATGTCAAACCTTTCCAGGACACCAGGCCCTTCAAGATTTGGCCCCACCCTACCCTTCCTCACCTGTCACTTCTTCATGCACCTTATTCTCTAACCCAAATGAAATACCGTACTCAATACACATCACAGGCAAGATCTCTTAGCCTTTGTTCTCACTTTTCTTTTCCTTCCAGACTCTAACTCGACTCGATTTTCTTTTAATCCTCGCAACTCTACAAACATACATTTTCCTCCTCGATTCTGTATCATAGGTAAGGAAACCTTGGCTAGAGGTTAAAGGTCACAAAGCCACTAAGTAATGGCAACAGAGAATGAAACTCGGGTCTTGATTTCCACCAATGCCAAAGTGCTCTACAAAAAGCAAAACAGCAAACTGTCCGTCTTTCTTGATTTGCTTGTGTTTGGTTGCACATGCACAAAGTACATAAAAGCACAACGTAGCTTTCCATAATTATTCTTAAACAAGACGGGTCTGTTCCCGCCCCAACTTAGGCATGAAGAATATATCCAATTTGTTTGAATAGTTGTGCCGTGCGAAACTTACATGGTATTTTTATAAGAACCAGAAAATTGAAAAGTATTGTGCAAACAACATTTTACTAGTGGAACCAGTAAGATAAACGACAGCTCTAAACTGTCTGAACCCAAGGGACCGCTGCATGCGGACATTGGCTGCTTTCTGCTTAAGTGTGATGAGTGACCCAGGATGAAAAATTCTGAGCGTCTAAGACCCAGAGTAAATCCAAAGGGCCTCCACACTCGGGGTCAGGAATTATAGGCAGAAAACAATCAACTTTCCTCCACAGAGCTGCTTCCATTGAAGGACTGACAAGAGGCGACCATCTAAAGGAACAAAAAATGAGCCATGCCCACCCAGTAACAAGGTGAAAGCGTGGAGCTCGACCCCGCAGAGCCGCGGGTCACACCCAGGGAGCGATACCTTTGGCCGCAGAGATGTTGCTGAAGCGGATCTGGGCCGGCTTATCGCGGTCCTGATAGGCGCTTTTGCTGCGGCCGCCAGCAGCCCCGGCGGGCGCCCCGCTGCGGGGTGCCACGTTCTCGGGCATGGCAAGCTGGGCTGGGTCTGCGTGGGCTCGGGAAGGACGGATGGACGTGGATTGCGGTCGGCTGCGGAGTAACGGTTCGGCACCAACGATTTCACGAACCTTCCAGAAAACGGCGCCGGCTCTGGGCGGAGGAGGCGGAGAAGGGGTCCTGTCTGGCGGCGCGGTGCGGGAATGACGTAGCAGGCTGCCCGCCGCGTGCCGGGTGAGGGGACTGCAACAGGGAACTCGAGGCTTGCAAAGGATGGTGGCCTCGGGCGCTTGGGGTCCGGGGTCGGGACCGGAGAGGAGCGGTCTCTTGCGAGGCAGACAGGACAGCCCACTATTTTAAAGGCGGGCGTTGGGACACCCACGTCTCCCACTTCCTGGTCCTCGGCTGTGAGGTCCCTTGCGTTAACTCGAACTGAACGCGACTGAGAGGTGTGGTTCGCTCTCTGTTCCTCCTGACCGCGTGTGGCTACCCTGCGCTTGCCCGGCCCCGAATACCTGCATGTTACTCAATTTTATTCATTTTGAAATTTTATTCATTTTGAAAGGGAGTCTGAAGAGAGATTTGGGATGGGTCGTTTCTTTGCTTTTAAGTGTTGGGGTTGATTGTCTCCTATTGATTGATACCGAGTGGTAATTAAAGATTTAAATACACCCTCGTTAAGTACTAGAGAATCTTAAAAGTTTTGGAGCTATGATTGCTTGCTGAATCAGGACTGCCTCACTAGTTAATACAGTGCCCTCGTTTTAACATTATTTTATTCTAAATTACGTAGCCACTGGCTTTTAGAGAGCCTAAGCATTTTATAATGATCAGTTCAGCGCAGTGCTAAACCCATTACACGTTTTAGCTTGTTTAATCCTCACAAAAATATGAAATAGATGTCTTTATTTTTTATAGTGGAGAAAGCAACCGGAGGTCTTTGATTCCTTTTTTTCTCTCTCCCTCATCCAAAGACTGCTAATTTGACCTCCTTTGTATAAGAATCCATCTCATAACCTCTATCCTTTAGATGCCACAGCCTTAGGTCAGACCCACATCATCATTTATTTAATCATGTGATAGCTTGGCTTTTGGCCTCTCCCTGCCCTGCTAGTTCCTTTGCCATACTTGCTACCACAAAGGAATCTTAAAAACTCAAATCTGATGTTCTTATTCCCCTGTTTAAAATCCTTCATAACTCCTCAAGGACTAAGTATGAAAATTGGCATTATGTGTAAATTCTCCCTATCTATGACCTCCAAGCCCTGTTAATATTTTCAGGTTTATAACCCTAGGCTCCTGGTTTCCACTCTTGGCTACTGTAGGGCAGGAAAACATCTTTTTCCTTTTACCCTTCTATGTTCTTGGCTGGGGCTCTGTAACAGAACACATTAACAAGAAGAAAGCATACTGATTTATTATAAGTTTTATGTGACATTTGAGCCTTGATAAGGAAATGAACACCTGGAAAAAATGATTAAGCCTGAATGGTTTAATACTGTATTTGATGAAGAGGGGAAAGTTGTGGGAAAATGTGGTGGACAAAAGGATATGAGCTAAGGAGAGTAAATTGGGAAAACAGCAAGGTCTGGTCAGTTCAGAGTCCTCTTGGCCTCTCTCTGTCTTTGGAGATAAGAAT